GTCACCCCCACAATGTCCCCATCCTGTCCGGAGGTGCCACCGCCGTGTCCCCCGTGCCACCCCCGCTGGGCACCCACCGCCTCCTCGGTGCCATTGCGGCTCGGCAGCCACGCGTGCGAGTCATTGCTGACCTGCACCTTGTAGGACGTCACCCAGTCGTACCTGCGGGGCACAGAGAGGGGTCAGGGTGTCCCCGGTGCTGTCCCCACCCCAAATCCCCTTTGTCCCCTCACGTCCAGATGGAGTTGAGGCCCTGGGTGACCACGCCGGTGAAGCGGGTGAGGCGCCGGGCGTCCACCTGCAGCCACTGCTCCGTGTCCTCGTGTCCCGCACACCAGCCCCCGTCGTAGAAGTCACCGTCGTAGAGCCCTGACTGCGGGGAGGGGAGGGGACACGCACAGCGACACGTCCCCGCCGTCCCCGAGCCCGGGGTGGTGGCACCGGCACGGCGGTGGCCACATGGGAGGGAGGGGACCGGGCTGGAGAGCGCAGGGACATTTGGGTGCCGTGGAGGTGCCATGGACTGGCCACGAATTGTCACAAACGTGCCATGGACGTGCCACAAACTTGCCACGAATTGTCACACACGTGCCATGAAGGTGCCACGGACTCGCCACAAACGTGCCGCACCTGCCCTGAGTTTGACACACTCACACGCCGCATATCAGGTAGGTGACATTCAAACACCTCCCCTCCCCAACCTGGCACACTCCTGGCACACCTTGGCACACCTCAGCACACTCCTGGAATGCTCCTGGCATACTCCTGGCATATACCTGGCACACACCTGGCACACCTTGGCATATACCTGGCACACCTCAGCATACTCCTGGCACACCCAGGCACATCTTGGCACATTCCTGGCAGACTTTGGCACACTCTGACACACCTTGGCACATCCTGGCACACCTTAGCAGAGTGCTGGCACTCGGCTGGCACACCTTGGCGCACACCTTACCACACTCCTGGCATACCTTGGCGCATACCTGGCACACTCTGTCACAGCCTGTCACACCCTGCCACACTCCTGGCACACCCCCTGGCACCCCCTGGCACAGGTGGCAGTACCTGGATGTTGAGGCGGCCGCGGTGCGCTCCCAGCCCGTGCCGTTTGTGGCTGGACGCCTGGAGCTGCGAGTCCAGCACCCGCAGGGACTCCAGCCCCAGGGGGGGGCACGCTGGGGACACAGCGGGCACCGGGGTCACACAGGGACCCCCGGGGCTGTCCCCACGGGCCTGTGCCATGGGGACACCCCCAGGTGCCCCGAGGACACGGCCAGGTCCCTGTGCAGGTGACAACGCCCGGGCCACCCGCACCCACAGCACGTACGGGGCTCCTGCGGAGCGGCCGGAGCCTCCGGCTTCTTCCTCAGCACCTTCTTCTTCCTCAGCACCTTCTTCCTCACCACCTTCTTCTTCCTCAGCACCGCCCTCGTGGTCCCCTGGGGCGCTGGGGCTGCGAGGGGACACGGGGGGTGCCAGGGCAGGGGGGCTGGCAACACCTCCAGCCCCTGGCACCCCAACACCCCCCATGGGACCCCCCCCTTTACACACCCCCCCCCCCCATCTCCTACCTGTGACCGCGGGGTCCCTGTCCCGGGAGGGGCCGGGGCTGGGGGTGGTCCCGCTGCCCTTCGGGGGTCCCGTGGTGCCGCCCCTCGAGGGGGTGGCCGTGGTGCCCTTCGGGGTGGGCACCCCGCTGGTTTTGGGGGGTCCCGGCGTGGTGCCCTTCGAGGGGGGCGTCTCGCTGCCTTTCGGGGGCCCCCTTGCGATGGCTTTCGTTGGGGACACCCCGCTGGTTTTGGGGAGTCCCATCGTGGTGCCCTTTGTGGGGGACACCCCGCTGTTTTTGGGGGGTCCCGGCGTGGTTCCCTTCGGGGAGGGCACCCCGCTGGTTTTGGGGGGTCCCGGCGTGGTTCCCTTTGTGGGGGACACCCCGCTGTTTTTGGGGGCCCCTCTGGCCGTGCCCAGCCCCGTGGCTCGGTGCGGAGCGGCGCGGGCGGGGGGCGGCGAGGGGCTCAGCAGGAGCAGCAGCAGCAGCAGCAGAGGGGCGAGGGGCAACCCCGGCATGGCCGCGGCCCCGCCGGTCCCTGCCCGCTCCTGCCGGTCCCTGCCGGTCCTGCTCCGGTCCCGGCCCCTCCCCGGCCCCCGCCCGCTTCCTGCCCGGGACCCCCGCCCGCCTCCTGCCCGCCCCCCGCCCGGGACCCCCGGCCGTGCCCCGCCCCGTTAACCGGCGCCGTTCCGCTCCCCTGGAACGGGGGACAGCGGGACCCGCCCGCTCACCCCGCGCTGTGTCCCCGCTGTGCCATCACCGTGTCCCGCTGTCCCCTCGCTGTGTCCCCGCTGTCCCCTCGCCACGCCGGGGGTCTGCGGGGGCTCCTCCTGCCGCAGCGGCCGCGCCGCCGGCCGAGCCCGGGGACCCGGGAGGTCCCGAAGCCGCCGGTGCGGGCGGAGCGGGACCGAACCGGGCGGCGAGGGGCGGCCCCCGGCCCCGACACCTCGGGGGTGCCCCGGGTGGGGCTCGGGGTGCGGCTCTGGGTGCTGGGGAAGGGGTGCGGGTCCTGCCTCTCCCCCACCCTGCGCGGGGTCTCAAACACGCCCCGAAAAAACTTTCCCAGCTTGACTTTCCTTTCTTTTATTGGGATTTCCTGCAGGGCGGCGGAGCTGCCGCCGGTGCCGTCCCTGTCCCTTGTCCTCATGAGGAAGGACAGGGATGTCCATTCCAGGGATGGCTTTGTGGCACTGCTGCGGGATCCTCGGGATCTGCTTCCCCCGGGGATGCTCCTCGGCCACCCCAGGGGACAGCGGGGACAGCGCGGCTGGCACAGGGGACGGAGCGTTCATTCCCTGCCCGGTTCCAAGGGAAGGATTTTGTTCCTGCCTTCTGCCTCAGCCCCACGTGACGGCACTTTCGAGGTTTGCAGAATTCCCGGCCCCGTTCCTGGCGCCGTTCCCGGCTCCAAGGCGCGCACACACGGCCCCGATTCGCTGTGCTGGCTCAGCACTTCCCGGGATGTCAGGAATTTCCTGGTGCAGCGCCGGCTGCTGCCAGATCCCGCCTGGAGATGCCTTTAAAGGCGCCGTGGCTTTTCCCGGCAGGAATCCTAATGGGAAGCTGCTGTGGTTCCCCACACCCCACAGGCGGAGCGGGGTCAAACCCCCCGAGCCCTGCCGGGACAGTCCCCTCCAGGGCCGGGTCACTGTCCCCGTGTCCCTGCTCTCCTTCCCGCAGGGAATCTCTCCCAGCCCGTGCTCCAGTCTGGGATTTCTCCTCCTCCCGCTCTCTCCACCCCCCTCTGCACACCCCTGGTGTCGTGTGGGGTCGGGGCTGCAGCTCCAGAAGGTTCCAGAAGGTTCCAGAGGGTGCCGTGGTTGTTGGGGTGCTGGGATGTCCCGTTGTGACACAGGAGCCGTGCCCTGATCCCAGTATGATCCCAAAAGGTTCAGGTCCGTTGTCAGGAGAGCCCCTCCCTCAGGGGCAGCAGCTCCTGGATCCTTCTGGAAAAGCCAAATCCCAACTCCTGGCCGGCCCAGGAAGGACAGGGCAAGTTGGCCATGGAGCAGGAAAAGTGGGAATTCTGTGGTCCCCGAGGGATGAGCCAAGGGGGACACGACCGAGATCCACAGGGATCCCGAGGGCACACACAGAGATCCCAAGGGAAGAGCCAGGGCCAAGGGCACGGATACAAAAATCTGTCCCAATGGTTGGAGTTAATCGCCCGAGAGATGTCCCATGTGGAAAAACTCATCAACCAAGAGCTGTGCCAGGAGAAAGCCAGGAGGGACCAGGAGCTGTGCCAGGGGCAAGGCAAGGGACACGAGGATCTGTCCCAACGGGAAGAATTCACCAACCAGGAGCAGAGCCAAGGGGAAGCCAACAGATCCCAAGAGCGGTGCCAAGGGAATGTCAATGGATACAAAACTCTGTCCCAATGGGAAGACTTAATCCACCAGGAGATGTCCCAAATGGAAGAATTCATCAACCAAGAGATGTCCCACGTGGAAGAGTTGATCAGCCAAGATCCATTCCAAGGAAAAGCCAAGGGACACCAAGAGCGGTGCCAAGGGAACATCCATGGATACAAAACTCTGTCCCAATGGGAAGACTCAATCCACCAGGAGATGTCCCAAATGGAAGAATTCATCAACCATGAGCTGTCCCAAATGGAAAAATCCATCAACCACAAGATGTCTGGAATGGAAGAACTCATCAACCACAGTATGTCCCAAATGGAAGAATCCATCAACCATGAGCTGTCCCAAATGGAAAATTCCACTGACCAAGATCCGTGCCAAGGGGACACCGAGGGACACCCAGAGCGGTGTCACGGGAATGTCCAAGGATACAGAACTCTGTCCCAGTGGGAGGAATTAATCAACCAAGAGATGTCCCAGTGGGAAAGACTTTCTTGACCAGGAGCTGTGCCCAGCAGAGCAGGGGGCACACCCGTGCCCACACTGGGCTCAGTGCCCCCCAGCCCTGCCCATCCTGACCTCCAGGACCTTCCCCACACCCCTGCTCACTCTCCAGACCCCACACTGATCCCAAATTTGGCATTCTCATGGATTTAATCTGAGTTTTCCCTTTCTGACCCACCTGGCTGAAGTCCACAGGGAGAAATGGTTCCTATGTGCACCCCAAAAAAGCAGGGGGTGCCCCAAGCCCCAGGCAAAGGAATTAAAGGAATTCCCGAATTTCTGTTGGCTGCTGACGAGCCCCAGGGGGGCTGAGTGCTCCAGAAGGGTCCTCAAGTTTGGAATGTCGCCATGGAGCTGAGGTTGGGTGCAGGGAAGGGACTCATGGAATTATTTGGGTTGAGAAATCCTCTGAGTCCATTGAGTCCAGCTCTGCCCAGGCCACCGGTGTCCATGTCCCCAAGTGTCACATCCACAGGGCTGGAAAATCCCTCCAGGGATGAGGACTCCACCCCTGCCTGGGTGGAAATTCCAGCCCTTTCCAGGAAGGAATTTTCCTAATATCCAACCTAAACATCTTCTGGTACTGCTTGGAGCTGTTCCCTCTCCTCCTGTCCCCATTCCCTGGGAGCAGATCCCAACTCCCACCCAGCTCCAGGAGTTCAGGGAGTTGTGCAGAGCCACAGGGTCCCCCCTGATCCCCCTTTTCTCCAGGCTGAGCCCCTTTCCCAGCTCCCTCAGCTGCTCCTGGAGCTCCAAACCTTTCCCCTGATTCTCTCCATCGATGCCCTGGATCTCCAGCATCATCCAGAGTCACCAAACCCCCAAGGAATGACCCCAAAACTCCAGCCCTGGGGTAACTATACAATGAGAACATTTATTTCCTGGGGACACCTCCAACAGTCTCTGTCTGCCACGTCGGATGACTGGAGACACAAATCCAACCCTTTCCTGGTTTGGGTTTTAGTCTGTTCCCGAATTTTTACACCATGGATGCTCCTTCCTGACCCCAAATGCCAAAGGGAATCCAAACACACAGAACTGACTGGCCCTGGAGCGTCGTTCCTGGGAAGCTCCATCACCTGGAGCTCGGCTCTTCCCCACCACTGTCCTGCTGCTTGGCCATGAATTTCTGTGGAGAAGGGAAAAGAGATGGTTCTGCAGGGATATTCCAGGATTATCCCCTAAAATCCAGGCCAGGAACACCTTGGCCAGGTTCAGTCAGCTCCTCCTGTGGGATTTCTCCCATAAAATCTCCCCCAAAATGGGATTTGTCTCATAAAATCCCCCCAAAATGGGACTGGTCCCATAAAAGCCTCAAAATGGGATTTGCCCCACAAAAGCCTCAAAATGGGATTTGCCCCATAAAATCCCCCCAAAAAGGGACTGGTCCCATAAAAGCCTCAAAATGGGATTTGTCCCATAAAACCTCCCCCAAAATGGGATTGGTCCCATAAAATCCCCAAAATAGGATTTGTCCCATAAAATCCTCCCAAAATGGGATTTGTCCCATAAAATCCCCTCAAAATGGGATTTGCCCCATGAAATCCCCAAAATTTGGCTTCCAGGATGGCATGGACATGGGAAGCTCCCGAGTCCAGGCATGGAGAAAAAAAAAAAAAAAAAAAAAAAATTGCCATATTCCCAAACTCTCAGGGAATCGTTCACAGCCCCGAATCCAGGGATTTTTGGGAATATTCCCGTTTTTCCCGGGCAGTACCTCCATGTTCTGCCGGTGCAGGGGGGTCCTGCAGTGGTTGATCATGGAGGGCTCGTCGGCGTAGAAGAGGGAGCAGATCTGGCAGAAGAATCCGGCCTTTGGGACCAGGATATCCAGAGCTGAGGAACACAGCACAGTCACCACACACTGCTCCAAGAAATATTCCAACCTCACGTTTCTTTGGAATTTGGGATACCCTCAGGGGGAAATGTAACATTCCAAGAATTCAGTTTTTCCACCCAAGCTGGTCCCTGCCCTGTTTCAATCCAGAGGTCACCTCCATTTCCAATAAATACATCATTTTCTGGGAATAAAGCAACCAATCCCACAGAAGTTGGAGCAGTTCCTGAAGGAATGACTCCATGGAAACTGGAGCAATTCCTAAAAGACTGACCCTATGGAAGTGTGACTCACATTCCTGTAGGACTGACCCCGTGGAAGTTGGAACAATTCCTGAAGGATTGACCCCATGGAATCCACATCTCCCCACCCCCATTTCACAGCCCTGGCAGCAATTCCCTCCTTTCCAGAACTGAATGTTGGGAATAAAACTTGCCACAGGATGGGAACCCTCAGGAGACACCACACTGCACCTGGCTAATAATAATCCCAGCTGGATTTGGGAATTTCAGGAAAAAACTTTCCATGAGAGGCTTCCAAGTTTAACCAATTGTTTAAACGTGGATTTGGAGGAGTCAAGAAAAATCATGGATTCTGGGCCCTGACTCTGAGGTTCACTGTGGTTGTGAGGCATGGGAGGAGTTTTCCAATGGGAAGGAAAGAATCTTCCAGCCAGGAAAACCTGGAGCACTTCAGGGGATTCCTCTGGATTTACCTTTGGGAGTGCTCTGTGTCTTGGGGACTCCTGGAAAAGTCGTTTTCTTCTGCTGAGACTTTGGTTCTGCATCTTCTGATCCCAGCTGGGCTGCTGGAGACAGAAACACACGTTGGGATGGAACTGTGGAATGGTGGAACAGAACCATGGAATGGTGGAATAGAATCATGGAATGGTGAAATGGAACCATGGAATTGTGGAACAGAACCATGGAATGGTGGAACAGAACCATGGGATCATGGAACAGAACCATGGAATGGTGGAATGGAATCATGTAATGGTGGAACAGAACCGTGGAATGGTGGAACAGAACCATGGAACAGTGGAACAGAACCATGGAACAGAACCATGGAACTGTGGAATGGAACCATGGAATGGTGGAACAGAATCATGGGATGGTGGAACAGAATCACGGAACAGAACCATGGAATGGTGGAACAGAACCATGGAATGGTGGAATGGAATCACAGAACAGAACCATGGAATTGTGGAATGGAATCATGGAATGGTTTGGGTTGGGAGGAACCTAAAGGTCACCTTCCACCAGTCCAGGTGGCTCCAAGCCCTGTCCAAGCTGGCCTTGGTGTTCCTCACCTTTTGGCTTAGAGATTTCAGCCATTTCCTCCTCTGGATTTGTATCTCCCAGAATTTCCATTTCTTCTGGTCCTGCAACAGCAACAATATCTTCATCATCTTCATCTTCAGGCAGGACTTTCCCCGGGAAAGCGTTTTCTTCTTCCTCGTCGCCGACTTCATCGACCGTAACAAAGTTCAGTTCCTCTTTGAGGTGATTGAAGTCGGCCAGGAAATCATCCTCATCCTCGTTCACCTCATCCAGAGTCACCAGAGGATTGTCCTCGTTGTCCTCCTGGATCTCATCCACGGTCACCAGGGCGTTGGGGTCGTCGGGGTTGGCCTTTCCCTCCTCGGCGGCGCCCAGCTCGGCGGGCTCGTTGAGGGGCAGCTCCTCCACCTCTCCGATCTCATCCACGGTCACCAAGGGCTCAGCCTTCAGGTCCCGCTCCTCGAACTCCGCCCGGCGCCCGCTGCCGTGCGGCGCCGGCTCCTCCTGCTCCGAGATCTCATCCAGGGTCAGCAGCGCCTGCGGGTCCTTCACGGCTTCCGACAGCTCCTCCTCTTCCACCACCTCATCCACCACCAGCAGGCCCTGGGGGTCGACGCCCGGCAGCGGCACCGGCGCGTCCTCCTCCTCCTCCTCCTCCTCCTCCTATCTGACAAAGGACAGCTCACCTTCGGCTCCGCAGCTCTTCCCTCTCCTCTTCTTGCTGGCCGGTTCCGAAGGGTTGGCTTTGGCCGTTTCTTTTCTCTTGGCCCTCGGGGGGTTTCGCCGCGGCGCCGCCGGAGACTCGGCGTCGTCCAGCACCTCGTCCACCGTGACAAACTCGTCCAGGTTGAAAGGGAAGAGCTCTTCCTCCTGTGGGAATAATGAAATGTCGTCTCCAGGAGGAAGGTTCCAAAGGGGGAAGAGAAATAATCCCGGATTTAACTGGAGGGTTAAAATAAAAAAAAAAAAAGGGTTCGGGGTTTAAATCGCAGCGTTGCGCTGAGCGATTAATTTAGTTTAACTCAGGTTTAATTCAGGAAGTCAAAGCCCCTTGGAAAAATTGCAGCACATCAATAGGGGATAAAATTTAATGGGTAAAAATCAGCAGATGAAATTCAATGGATAAAGGTCAATGGATAAAAATTCAGTGGATAAAGGTTAACGGATAAAAATTCAGTACATGAAGGTTAATGGATAAAATTCAGTGGATAAATTTCAATGGAAAAAAATTCAGTGGATAAAGGTCAATGGATCAAAGTCAGTTGATGAAATTCAGTGGATAAAGGTCAATGGATAAAAATTCAGTGGATAAATTTAAATGGATAAAACTCAATGGATATGAATTCAGTGGATAAATTTCAATGGATAAAAATTCAGCGGATGAAGGTCAAAGGATAAAATTAAATGGATAAAATTCAGTGGATAAAGGTCAATGGATAAAATTCAACAGATAAAATTCAGTGGATGAAATCTCAGTGGATGAAATTCAATGGATAAAATTCAATGGAAAAAATTCAGTGGGTAAAGGTCAATGGATAAAATTAAATGGATAAAATTCAGTGGATGAAATTCAATGGAAAAAGTTCAATGGATGAAATTCAAAGTTCTGGATCCAAAGGAATGGGTGCCAGTTTTCCATTATTTTAATCCCATGGTTTTCCACCCTTTCAATCCCACAGTTTTTCATATTTATAATCCCACAAATTTTCATCCTTTTAATCCCAGTTTTCCATCCTTTTAATCCCAGTTTTCCATCCTTACCTCCTTCTGTTTCCCAGTGCTGCCTTTCCACGCTGCAGCACCACCCCCACCAGGAGCCTGCAAAAATGGGACACCAAAAATTCCATGAAATCAATCCCAGGAAATCCCAACCCTCACCGAGCACAGCTTTGTTTGGATCAGGGAGCTGCTCTGGGATGTCCCCACAGCTCCAGGGATTTGTCACCAACAAGTGACACCTGGCTGGAAAAAGCAAATTCCAGCTCTGCAGAGGACACACAAAGTTTATTCCCACTTGGAGCTGCTCCAAGGAATTCAGTTTGGATTTACTTCCCAAACGACTTCCATAGGATTTTCCCAAAAGTTCTGCAGCTAAAAGGAACTGGTGGCCCAGCAGCTCCTCTGGTGGCCTCATGGGATTTATGGAAAAGGGAAAGGGATGATCCCAGAATCCCAGGGAACATCGGAATTCCTGCCCTCCTCACCTGATTCCCGCTGGGATTTTCCCTCGTGCCAGATGTTCCAGATGTGCCAGATGTTCCACTCTCTCCCTGCTGCTTGGAGCTCGCCCGAGATTCCAGCTGGGAATCCTTTTCCTGCTGGGATGAGCTTTTCCCACTGTCTCCCTGTGCGTCCATCCCAGAATTTCCATTCCCTTTCCATTGGTTCCCAGTTCCCGGCTGAGCCGTGGCTTTGTTTGGGATTTTCTTCTCTGGCCCAGATTTGAGGGGGATTTTCTGTTCCCCAGCTTTTCCCAGGGAAGGCTCTGTGATCCTGACGGGAATTCTCTGTTTCAGGATATCTGGGACAGACACCACTGCCTTCAGAAAGGTTTTCCCAGTTCCAGATTCCTTTTGGGATGCAGTGGGATTTACTGGAGCTGCCACATGGCTTTCCTCGGATTTTACAGCTCCCATCCCTTTATTCTGTGGGGTTTTAACCGAACTTCCCACGTGGATCTCACCAACAGCATTCCCAGAGTTTTCCCCACCCTTGCAGGATGTTTTTCCAGATGTTTTCTCCACCTCTGTCTCAGCTTTGCTCCAAATCTTCCCTGGATTTTCCCCCATTTTGAGCACGGATTCCTCCGTCGTCCCCTCCCTCTCTGCTCCAGCCACATCCCATTTTTTCCCTGGAGCATCCCCACTTTTTGGGACAGTTTTCCTCTCCGTGGATGCCTCACAGCTGCTTTTCCCAGCCTCAGGAATGGGAGTTTTTTCCGGAGCAGCAGGAGGAGCAGGCTGGGTGACACCGGGTGACACCGCGGGAGCCTCGTCCGAGCTCGGGGACATTCCAGGGATGGCTCCTGGTGTTCCTCCAGCTGGGATCCCTTTGCTGGATGATTCCTGAGGATCCACGGTGGGAGCAGAGGGCTCCTCATCCTCCTTTTGCATTTCCAGCTCTGGCTCATCCCTTTCCTCCTTCCCTGCCCCGCAAAGCGGTGCCGGTTTCTCCTCCCACCTCGCTCCGGGTGATTTGCTGCCAGCGGGATCCACGGGAATTCCAATTCCAGGATCCAATCCCTCCACATCCACCCCTGCTCCTGCTGGCTGAGACTCTGCAATCTCCACTTGTCCCCCTGGAATGTCCTCCTGGACATTTGGGCTTGGAATTTGGCCTTTCCTGGGCTCTCCCGATGGATTTCCGGGTGTTTTTTGTACCGTCCCCAATCCCTCTGGAATTTTTTTCAAGCCGGAGCTAAAAGCATTTCAAAGAAATAGAAGAAATCAAACCATGGAGGGAGAATTCCAGAATTCCCAGAAAATTCCAGGGGTTTTCCTGGAGCATCAGGAAATGGGATTGGGAATTCTGTGGTCCACATTCACATTTTAGAGACATCAGGCCTGGGAAAATTCACATCCCACAGAGGGAAAAATGGGAATATCCAACCAAAACGAAGCTCCTGGATAAGGGAATTAGCAGAGCTTTGCTTGAGAGGTTTGGATTTGGGATTGGATTTAGGATCAGGTTTTGGTTTGGGTTTAAAATCCCTGTTTTCCCATGGAGAATCCCCTAGGATAACACAGCCTGAGCTGATGGAGCTTTCCAGGGAATTTCAGAGACTTTTCTCCTGAAGGAAAAAAAATCCCACAGGATGAGCTTGGAATTAGGGATGGCTGAGCCTGGAGCAGCAATTCCAGCAGAATTCCAGCAGGGAATTTCTACTCTAAAACCTGGAAAAATCAGAATTGTCCAGGAAAGAGGGATTTGGGATCTCCCCTAAAGGGATTTTTCCATCAATTCAATATTTCTGCCTGTGCTCAGTTTGTTTTCTCTTCCATTGGGATTCATGGAAAACTCCTGGAATTCATGGAAAACTCCCCCCTGGATTCATGGAAAATGCAGCCTTGGAAAGGCAGAGCCCAGGGGTGGAGTTTAATTAATTAAAGCTTTAGACAAAGGATGAATAATTAATAATTAAAAGAATAATTCTGGTGTTTTCTGCTCCCTATGAAAAGGAATAAAATAATTATGTGGAAAATGCTGATTTTCCAACTTTTCAGGAGCTGGAATTCATGGAAAAATCCCTTTTAAATTTTAATTTTAAATTTAATTTTAATTCCACCTGTCTGGAATCAAGAAGTGGCTGTGAGGAAGAGATTCCCAATTATTTGGGAATTAACACTCCCAAAATTCAGGAATTTCATGGAATGACAAAGAAAGAAATTGGATCTGGGAATACAGAGCTTTTCCATAACAGAATTCCTTAAATTCTAAGATTATCCTTACACAATTTTGGGGTTTATAACAACAAAACTCATCCAGAAATCCGAGTTGGAATCACAGAAAAAAAAAGGGATCCAAGTAGTATTTAACAAAAATTCCTGAAAATTTCTGGGAATTCAGCAGTTGGGAAAAGGAATTCCAGAATGTTTAACAAAAATTCCTGAAAATTTCTGGGAATTCAGCAGTTGGGAAGAAGAATTCCAGAATGTTTAACAAAAATTCCTGAAAATTTCTGGGAATTCAGCAGTTGGGAAGAAGAATTCCAGAATGTTTAACAAAAATTCCTGAAAATTTCTGGGAATTCAGCAGTTGGGAAGAGGAATTCCAGAGTCAGGGACAGAGGGGAGAGCTGCAGGATGGAATAAAAGCAACAGGAGGAGCCAGGACCTGAACAGGGGAGAAAACCAAGGAAAACTCCCCCAGAAATTGGGATTTCACCCAATTTTTCCATGATTTTTTAAATAAATCCTGAATATTTTAGCTCTGGAGCACATGGATTGGGAAGGAGGAGCAGCAGGACAAAGCTGGAGGGAGGATCAGCAATCCCTAATTGTGCATAAACATTCCAAGAGGGAAAAGAAATGGATAAAATTCCCAAAAATTCCCCATAAATCCTCACAGGCTGTACCTTGCTCTGCTCCCTTCCTCTCTCTTCACTTCCTTTTTCCCAGTTTCAGCCTGGAAAACAAAAGCCAAAGGTCAGGATTTTCCAAGTCCAGAGGAAACAGGGGAAAGGCAGAACTGCAGGGAATTGTTCCCAAGCTTATTCCCTCCCAGGAGGAGAATTCCAACAGGAAATTGGAAATGTTCATCCTTCCCTCAAATCCTTGGATGGATTTGGGAACATGGAGCTGGATCAGCTCCCTAAAATCCAGCCATTCCTTGTCCCTATCCCAAAAATCCAATAATTCCTTAAAAACCCCATTCCCTATCCCTAAAATAGAATAATTTCTTACAAATCCCTATCCCTAAAATCCAATAATTTCTTACAAATCCCTATCCCTAAAATCCAGTAATTTCTTACAAATCCCTATCCCTAAAATCCAATAATTTCTTACAAATCCCATTCTCTAGCCCTAAAATCTGAGCGTATCTTAAAAATCTCATTCCCAAACCCTAAAATCCAGCTATTCCCTGTAACTCTCAAACCTTATCCCTAAAATCCAACC